ATATATATATATATATATATATATATATATATATATATATATATATATATATATATATATATATATATATATATATGGTATACATACACACACACACATATATATATGTGTGTGTGTATGGGTATGTGTGTCTGTAAATGCTAACTCATGTGAGTGTTAAACAGAACATATTACCTCGTACTTTATCTATCTGTCTATCACTGTCTGTCCATCTCTATCTCAGTCTGTTCGTTATCTATCTATCTATCTATCTATCTATCACTGTCGGTTCATATCTATCTCAGTCTGTTCATTATCTATCTATCTATCTATCTATCTATCTATCTATCACTGTTCATATCTATCTCAGTCTGTTCATTATCTATCTATCTATCTACGTCACTAAATTCATGTCTTTTTTTTACTCAGTCTTTTCTTTCTTTATATACATATATATATAATGATAGAAATATGACAAACTGTAAATTTTCTTGTGACGCTTATTATCTGTTAGGATTTCATGGGACTCGGTCATTTTGATGATACCTCGTTTACACATGCGTATGAAACGATAGACGGAGGTAGTTTTCAATTATTTTTGAAAGATTATTTTTGACAGAATATTTTTTCTCAAAATCTAACCAAATTCACCTCTATTCTCTTTCTTTACTTCTCCATCACCTTTTTTTCTGACTATCCCACTCTGTGAATATATAAAATCTACCAAGAATGCCTGGACGCAAATTTACCGTGGCTGTACTAGTGATCAAAGCACATTCCAGACTTTTTCGTCTCAGTGCATTATTTTCTCCTTTAATCTATCTATCTATCTATCTATCTATCTAACTATCTATCTATCTATCTATATATATGTATATATATATATATATATATATATATATATATATATATATATATATATTACCCAAGTATATGATTGGTGTATACGGAGTAATAACTAGAAAAATAGCCATTTTCTTTCAATACCATTGGTATCTTATCAAGTGATGATGTTGAATGTAATTTGTAGAATGAATGTTTTAAAAGCTTCAAAATAATTAACCACCCCTCGAAAGGGGAAACGCTGTTACATGAGCTGAAATGACCAATTTAATACTTACTAGTTAGAATAAATACTTGATATTTATTACTTAGAATAAATTATATTTTAGTATAAACCCAACTTTAAAGCATTTAATACTTATTATAATCTTACTTCCTTATCATTTCTTTTGAATTCTCGGATATTGTATTTTGTGTTGGTCATTTCAGCTCGTTACTATATATATGAATATCTACATATCCATATATATATATATATATATATATATATATATATATATATATATATATATATGTGTGTGTGTGTGTGTGTGTAAAATGTGTTTGTGTGTATGTTGGTCTATCTCAGTCTGTTTCTATCTCTCTTTCCTCTCTCACTCTCTCTCTCTCTCTCTCTCTCTATCTATCTATCTATCTATCTACATATATATATGTCTTGCTGAACACACAAGTATAGAATAATTTGTGATCGTCTTTTATCTCTAAGATATAATTTCGAAGAAAATTTCCACAAATAGTAGTTGGACATTGAAAAGTGTAGCATTTCGAGTCATTCCACAGAAGTAAATGACCACACTTGGGTCTTCGGTCTTCAGGACAGCACGGCAGTTAATCAATAGCGACCAACCTTAAATATAGACCTAGCAAGACAAAAAAGATGGTCACTGCAAATAAACTTTTAACTTCTAAGTAGAAAGAAAGACACATCGTGAAAACTAGAAACATTGCAGGAAGAAAATTAGAGATGAATGTAAAACAGGCAAGTATACATCCCTTAAGAGTATTTTGGATTTTAGAAGTAAAACATTTTACTTACTGTGAAGATTACTTAAACTTGGTGCGGAAGAAATAATTCCCATATGTACCTTCCAGAAATATCTTCCACATAATTTTAAGACAATAGTGGCAATGGTGTCTTCATCCGGATAATGTCTACCGTTATGTGAGAAATACAAGAAACAGCAGGAATCTCGTAAATCCAAAGGGTGAGGGAAAAATTAGAATTACGAGAAATGTGCTAAAACCAGAAATACCAGAAATGCTGGAAAAACCAGAAATGCGGGAAAAAGCAGAAATGCCCGAAATTTGGAAAATACCAGAAATGCGGAAAAACCCAGAAATAGAAGAAATGTGGGAAACGACAGAAATGTGTGAATTACCAGAAATCTGGAAAATATCACACATGTGGAAAAACCAGAAATACCAGAAATGTGTGAATAACCATAATTACCAGAAATGTGGGAAATACCAGAAATACTAGAAATATGGGTAAAAACAGAAATACCAGAAATGTGGGAAATACCTGAAATGTGGGAAAAACACAATTACTAGAAATGATAGAAATGTTTGAAATACCAGAAATCTGGAAAAATCAGACATGTGGGAAATACCAGAGATACCGGAAATATGCGAAAACCACGAATACCAGAAATGTGGGAATAGCCAGAATTACCAGAAATGTTTGAAAAACCAGCATTACCAGATACTGAACATTCAGCAAGTACCTTAATTCCTCATGTACGCATTTTTCTTCTGAAATGATAATAAGCAAAATTAGGGGTGCGTAATATGCACAGATACAAAACATGTTTAAAAAATTGCCGTAAAATAAAATAAGAATTATCATAAAACTGAATAATATTATTCTATTTTTAAAACCATTTTTTAAAATTAAGATTAGGAAACTCTGGTCGTAATGAAATTGGTGAGATACAATTTATAGGGTTTGTTTAGCAAACAAGGGTTCTGTATTATTTGTGAGTAGAAGCATTTTCCAACACTTTCAGTACAATTTTTGATGGTGCGTATTATGGATGAAGTCGTATTGTACATGGGGAATAACGGTAATTGATTTCATGGCTTTAAATGATTTCGAATGAGGGAAATTGAATAGTGTTAAATGGGGAGCTAACAGAAAATCTAATTTTTTTCTGTGAAAGAAAGATCATGGAAATTGTTAAGAAGTTCTTTTACATGGAATAAATTATTTGAGATTTGTGAAAAGTTTTCTCCAGATGTGATGCGTTCGCAGATTGTCACATGTTTCACAACGAGTGATAGTCCTCATATCCACTTTGTTTTTTTCTCCTATCTCCCATGTTTCTCTTTCTCCCTCTTCATATATATATATATATATATATATATATATATTATTTTATTTTATATATATATATATATATATATATATATATATATATATATATATATTAAGTATTCAGGCACACACACACACACACACACACACATATATATATATATATATATATATATATATATATATATATATATATATATAGCATTCAGACACACAGACAGAGACAGACAGACACATATATCAAATATGTGATGCAGTTCAATTTATATTACAATGAATTATTCATACAAAAAGTAAATTAGTACAGGTAATTATATAAAATAGTGAAATCTCTTCGCTAACAAAATTTTGAAGATGCATTAACCTACCAATCGCTCGATGAATGTTATGATCCTTTTTTTTTTAAATTATAATCTGCATGATGTCTTACTTTAATACGCAAGTACTTTCGACTTTACATTCAATCATCTTTAGACATGGAAATTATGTAAATGTACAGTCGAATGTACTTGTGTATTTAAGAAAGACCTTATACAGCTTCTAATTTTAAAAAAACAAGGATCATAGCATTCATCTAGGAATTGGTAGGTTAATGCACCTATAAAATTTTGTTAGCGAAGGGATTTCACCATTTTATATAATTAACTTTACTAATTTACTTTTTGTATGAATTATTGATATGCATATTTCCTTAAATATGACAGACAAGGTGCATTGATTAAGTTTTTCATGAATTTTCTCATGTGATCTTTTTATGTTTTTCTTTTCAGTAGATAAATTATATAAAAACTGTACAAATGTTGTTTTTCCAAGGGCTTTCGGCTATACCTTTAGCCATTTTCAAAGTTGAAATATATTAACTGTTACAATAGTTTACTGTTTACAATTGTATACGCAGTTTATAAAAGTATTGAATATAAAATTCACATTCAGCTGCGTTTGGTCGCCATTTTTAATTTGAATAAAAACCAACAGAAGTTGACACTAAGCATTCAGTAGATGAAATCCTGAGCAAGTAATTGTTTTCAAAGCTTAATATTATTTCGAATGAAAGAATAGTGCTAAATGGAGAATTTTTAAAGGAAACAACCTCACAGAAAATATTTTTTCTGTGAAAGAAGGATCATGGAAGTTGTTAGGAAGTTGTTTTACATAGGATAAATTATTTGAGATTGGTGAAAAGTTTTCTCTAGATGTGATACGTTCGCAGATGGTCTCTTGTTTCTCTACATGTGACAGTCCTCATTAAGCCATCCGATATAAATTGATAGAGGAAAACTTTTTGAATGATTAATCGGATGAAATGAGAAATTATTCTTTCATTACGGAATATATGAGATTCTTAAAGAAATGACGCCAATGAGATAAAAATATTGGCGATATAGTTTCGTGATTAAGGATTCTCTTAATTCATGACAAAAATATTTCGAGAAAAATCCCAGAAAAATGTACACCACTCTCATTTGTAGACTTTAAAATGGTGTAATGATTAGCAAATTTATCACTGCTAGCTCAATTATGACTGAATAATAAATTCTATCCTCACTGTGTGCCCCATATTTTCGGCCTTGTGAAACATTTAAGCTACACTTAGAAAATCATAAAAGAGATTTTGATGTGATGTAATGGTTAACAATCTTATCTTGCTAAATCAATTTCGAGTGAATAGTGAATTCGATCCACACAGGGTGCCCCATACATTCGGCCTTGTGACATGTCTATGCTACGCTTAGAAAACAATAAAGGACATTTTGATGTGATGTAATGGTTAACAAGCTTATCTTGCTAGATCAATTGCAAGTAGATATTAAGTTCAATCTTCACTAGTCTTAGAAAATCACGATCACGCTTATTTTAATCTAAATCAAGGATGATCTCTTCAATGTGGCATTTCATTCTTGCCAGTGAGGTCTGCCCAGAACAACATCTACTGCATTTAAGAACTCCGCCTAAAGATCTGTAAAACTTTAAACAGATTTGAGTATTGAATAATTGAGTTATGAAGAAGAAAAACATTTTTAAAATAAAAGCCAATGAAGTCACTAAGACGCACTGGGTTACTGGGTGTTAGAGAATATAAGACAAAAAAACTCTATTAAGGAGAAAGACCAATAGAGGAACAGGATTTAAGAAGACAGAATACAACGTGTGGCTTTTCATTTAATTTCCGAAGATCAAAGTTAACTAATAACCAAAAAGACAGAAGAGTGTTCCACTGTTAGCATAGAACTTACAGTTACATCTAGACATTTCAACTGTAAAATGATGAGACCTTACCGCCAATCTAGTACAGCGTTTCATAAATTCTAGATACCATAGAGGAAAATTCATTAGAACAGTTACCATGGATTTTTTTTTAGAAAACGAACAGGGGGGAAGCATTCTGTGGTAGGAAAGTGACTGAAATCAAGATGCCAGGTCAGGACCAATAACAGTGCCGATTCTTCTTTGGATTTTATAAAGGATTTTCAAAATATATATCAGTAACACCAGATCAAATATGGTAGCAATATTCCAAGCAAGGAGGAATGGAGACTTATAAATATGTAAGATAGATTCTGTAGCGAAGAACTGCATAGTACGACACATGGAACCAACTTTTCTAGCGGCTGACTTATTAATTGATTCACTATAATCTTTCCACTTTATGTAAGCGGAAAATGTAAGACTGAGAAATCGCAATGTGTCGCTCGCTTGGAGGTTAGCATCAGCCATGCTGATGGGAGGCAAAATTATTCTTTTAGAAGAATAAAAAGAGCATTTTTGTTTTAAAGGCGTTAAAATTGACAAGACTTTCGTTGCTCCAGTTAGCAATAGATTGTAGGTCATTTTGAGATCAATTTAGGTTAATATGCGAATTTCTTTCAGGTACTTATGTTGAGTGTTTACCGACAATACTCAGAGCAGGATATAATTCCCTGCCGTCGATCAGGCATAACACAGCACTACCCAGGCTCCCAGCATCAGGCAGCGTTGATCCAAGGTATAGACGTCACAAAGGATAAAATTACGAGGATAAATAAAAAATTATTCGCATTATTTCGCCATAACATATCTTCAGGTTTGTCACACTTCTGATCATGCGTGCTTATAGTTGGTACAATTATGGTTACGTGATCGAAGTTTTAGCTTCATCGCACCAGTTTTCTTGCTGCTGTTACAGTGTGAACATGGCCGCTCCGCAGGCAGTGTGAACCGGGCAGTAACAAAGAGTGTTAAAACGATTTCTCTCGTCGGAAATCAATTTTTCTTTTAGAGTTGATACTGGCTTTTCTTTCCTTTTTTATTTGGTTTGATGAGCACACCGAGAAATTATATATATATATATATATATATATATATATATATATATATATATATATATATATATATATATAAATATGCCTATATATGTATATGTATATGTATGTGTATGTGTGTGTACTCTTTCGCAGGTTTGAAACCCAAATGATTTGCTGTCAGTCAGAGCTTCTACCACTGAGCTCGGTAGAGTTACGCGGCTAAATCTAGCGTATTGTTTTTACTAATGTAAACAAATGCCAATCAGCCGAAGTGCTCCATTCATTTTACTGAAGAGCTTTGCATTAACGCAGGTAGCTATTGTTTATAGAATTAGCTTATCACTCAACAGTGCTCAATTGAAATATATTTTCAAGAGCTAAATTTCCTCAACGGTAGCACAAATTTGAACTTCATTAATAATGAAATCGTCAATCAGCTTGAAACTAAGTTTTTCTACTGGCGATAAAATGCATATTGTCATTCATTTAAATTCTATGTCTGTTATGATACATGTGTAACTACTTTTTTAATACCAGCACTTAATGACCGATATTTATAAACACACACACACACACACACACATATATATATGTATATGTGTGTGTGTGTATGTATGTATGTATATAGGTAAATAATTTTTTGTTAGAAAGATTCTCAATAAAAACCTTTTGTATAGACTAAAATGAGGACACCTAACATTTAATTTAGTGATATTTATATGAATATTTTACATGATAGTGATATTTATATGAAGTTTTACAGAGAATAATTTTTTTTTTACATACACTTGGATTTTTAGTGTTTTTTTTTTCTTAGAAAAATAATATGTTGTTTTCCATTTATTTAAACGTTTAACTATAAGCGGTTTCGCCTAGCTTTTCAAAAAAATTGTATTTTTTCTCCACGTGTTGATGCTTATGATTTGTACCAGTGAAAACAATGAAATTTAAGCGGCGTAACTAGCTATATATATCGTTTATGGTAAGAGGAATTTGCTAGAATGTCTCTCTCTCTCTCTCTCTCTCTCTCTCTCTCTCTCTCTCTCTCTCTCTCTCTCTCTCTCTCTTTCTCTCTCTCTCTAGAGAGAGAGAGAGATCGAGGGAGAGGAAAAATTAGATCAGCTGAATCATCCTACCTTGGTTTGAAACTTTCAGGTGATCTGAGATCAACCATTTCCTACCTTCCTTTTAAGCGTTTGCAAGTTATTTAGCACGGATCGCCTGAAGATGCCGCACGGTTGAAACCAGGGTAACGTGATCGGCTGATCTCTTAATTCTTTTCAAATTTAAAAGCACTGAATTTTTATTTCTGTTTTATCTCATTTTGATTTTATTTCATTTTCCCTATTTTTGATTCCTATTATTAAACTTCATCACCTATTTGAGTTTTCTCGCATTAAACTTCTCATTTCTATATTCTTTGTTTTGTTTTTACCGCTAATGACTTGGGTTGAACTGAGACTAATGTTCATTTTGTCTTAGCCAAACACAATCATCAATCAAACAGCTCTGCCAAAAAAACCTGTCATCTGAATTGCATTCGATTTTTTTTATATTATTTTTTTTCGATTACTTCTCTTTTTTACCCTACCCACTGTTGATTTAAATGTATTGCGTACATCCACCTACTTACTTGAATCAATTATCTTTTTATTTATTTTTCGCCTAATCTGCTTCCAAACACATTGAGCACGAATGAAATGTTACATTTCTCATAGTCCCGCCCACTGTCAAGACAACCACCTTTATTTTTTAAATTCATCCATTCAGAATTTAATCAGATGACAGAGTTTTCTTTATGCAAGTCAGATATATACATTGGTTTAGTTTTAGTTTCAAGCATATTTTAATTCAAGTGTTTTTTTTTATTACTTTCACTTTCAGTTTTACTTTCCTTATCTGGTTTCACTTTCACTTTTGTTTTCATTTCTGTTTTAAATTCATATTTGTTTTCTTCCCCCACACTCTTATTATTTGGGGACATTTTAAAATTTATTTGAGACTTGACTTTTAACATTTTCCACTGCCATTTATCACTAGTGTTTTATTTTTCTTATTTAATTCAATGATACTAGTTTTCTTCTTTCCGTGTTTTCAAAAATTATCCCTTTATATCAGTGTCATCATTCTTTCCGACATTCGTCTTCAGGTTAATTTTCTTTCTCGCTCTCGCGTGATTTCCTCGATTGTTGTATGTTTGATGTATTTGAAGTTATTATTTGAATTCTTTTTCCATTTTCATTTTATCAGTTCTTTTTTTTTATTTGCTTCTGTACTTTTCTCTGTTCCATAAACATTTTAAATTTTGTTTCTCAGTTTTCTTGCTTTTTAGAGGAATTTGCACGAACACGTTCAGAAACTATGTTAATGTATATATTCTATGAAGTCGCCTGTATATAGATTTTTGTTCATTCTATCGCCAAAAAAATATAACGCGACTGACCATGCCTTTTTCGAGTCGTTTGCTATTTTTGTATTAATATGATTTTGTATTTTAATAATAATAAGTGCCTCCTTACTGACATGACAGTCCCTGCAGACGGCAATGTATCTTTGAAGATCTTCAAAATACTATCAAAATACAAGGGCCTTGAAATGGAAATCTCAAAAATGTGTCAAATGAGGACATCATTACTTTGTATTATATATGGATCCTTCAGATGGATTTGTAAAAGATTCTAATAGATTCATTAAATGGATTCCTGGTAGTCCATGTCATTAGGAAATATAAAAAAAGTATTCTCACAAGTACAGCTCACACCTTACAAACGGCATCATCTATGTAAAATTTCCTGACCTTAGGTCACTTGTCGAGCCCCAAAAAGAAATGAGAACAAACAAGGAATAAAATAATAATAATATATATATATATATATATTATTATTATTATTATTATTAGTAGTAGTAGTAGTAGTAGTAGTAGTAATAATCTTATAAGTATAAGAAATTATACACGTCCGGAAAACCTTGGGTGCCTTGGTTTGCGAATAATCCAAACAATACCAAAGGTATAAAAAAGAAAGAACCAAAAACAAATAAGCCTAAAATAATCGCCCAGCATGCAAGTTCAAAGCTCAAAGAAAAAGACCTCGATACGACTAAGCAAAATAACTAAATAAAGTGCACAATACAGTAAGTAGAGCAGACCTAGTTAAACCTAGAGAGCCAGACAAACCTAACAAGGTTTTTTCATCTAAGCGGATCGTCAGTGAAGGCTTAGCCTTCCCTGACGATCCTCTGAGGTGAAACCTTGGTCGGTTTGTCTGGCTCTCCAGGTTTAACTATATATATATATATATATATATATATATATATATATATATATTTCCTCAACGTTAGCACAAACCTGACTTTGATAAAGAATAAAATCGTAAGTCAACACCTAACAATAGCGCTGTGCTCTTAGTAAAAATGCATATTTTTTATTCATTGAAATTATGTCTGTCATTATATATCGGTAACTATTTTATTAGCAGTAAGTTTGAATGTGCAGGTAGTCTAATAGAATATATCTCAGGATTTTTAATCGGAGAGCCGAGTTCCAATTCCAGTCGGGTTTGTTATATTCACTTGCGTGCAAATATCCTTGGAAATGGCATGAATCCAACACTTCTTGCTCCAGCTATGGGTTAATTAACTAATAAGAGTTTCAGTTAAAAAGGTAAAAATGCTCGTTTTTAATTACAGATTTACGGCAATATCACGTTCAATCCGGTTCTTCTCCGCCCAGTTACGATTTAATTAATACGATTTGGATATTTAATTCGTAAGTATCTTTACAAATTCGAAGTCTATAAATATTTTCTGTTTTCCTACTGTTTCCAGGCACGGTGGAGTAATGGATGGTGGCTTGGATTGAGGAATCGGAGAGCCGAGTTCGAATTCCAGTCGATTCCATTACATTTACTTACGTGCTAATATCCTTGGGAAAGGTATGAATTTTCTTCTTCGCCCCAGCACCAGCTATAAGTAAGTAGAAGGGCAGACTGGGTTCGATAGCCTTGGATGTCAACTGACCTACCGAAGAAAGAAATTGCAAATTAATGCGGGAAAAAATCTGCCTTGTCAGTCATCTATCGAAAGATATATGATTGCCTAAGCGTGTATCACGCATGGCAAATAATTGACTGACTGTTTCCTAGTCTAACTTAACTCTGACCAATAAGTTTTCATAATTACACACACATGCACACACAAACACAAACACACACACACACACACACATATATATATATATATATAATTATTTATTCAAAAATTATAACATAAATATGATATAAAATCACCACAAAAATAGCCATTTTGTTTCAACGCTTCTGGTGTCTTATCAAATTGATTGTTCTGAATGTAGAATAAGAGCTTTTATTCTACATTCAACAACATGGCTAGATAAGACACCAAAACTGTTGAAACAAAATGGCTATTTTGTAGAGATTCGGAATGCGTGGATCTTCAGTCAGCTTCCTGCGAGGCTGGTCTCAGAGCTCACAGCTCAACTCTGTCTGCGTCTGCGTCTGCGTTTCCTCGGAACTCTGCCACTCTCCAACAACAACTGCCGTCTACTCGCTGCGACTCTGTTTATATGGACGCCGACCAAAACCGGGTGTGGGCCTGTCGTGGTTTGGGTTCCTCGATAATTCTAAATCCACAATAAGGATTTTCTTTGTTTTCGGACAGGAAAATTTACCACTTTCCATTTTTGGAAGTTCATTAATTTCTGCCCCAGAGAGCTTCTTAAGGGAATCGTCCTCCCAAATTCTTCCTTTCTCATATTGGTATCTCACACCAATCCCATCAGAGGGCGTCAACAGGTTTCCCTTCTCTCTCACAGTGGTATCTCACACCAATCCCATCAGAGGCGTCAACAGGCCTCCCCTCTTTCTTATATGTTTACCTTCGCCCACCGCTCACGCCACCACTCAGCCAATGACGCTCGGCAGCGCGGTGTTTACAATTATTGCTCAAAGGAAAAAATATCTTCATTTTTTTCTTTTCTTTCTTTTCCTACACAAGACCCCTACGACTCTTAGTGTGGTCTTAATCTCTATCTTAACCTAATGTCATCTGGAATTTATCAACGAGATTTTCGCCAGCGTCAAGTGGGTGGTCATCTGGACGTCTTCACACTCTGTTGCCAATTATCTGTCCCGGTAACAGACTTTCATCATGTCTATGTCTGAACATAAAACAGGTGTCTATTTTTCAAAAACAAATGATATCTCCGAAAGATAGTTAATGGTTTATTCTTTCCCTTTCTCTCTGGGGTGGCCTCAGCTGATGCCTTTCTCGATAAGTGCATGACCTGATTATGATTATCTTCCAGCTTCTGTTTCGTAGGCCACTTGACCAATTTGATATTTTCATTATTGCCATGGGCAGATTGCTATCGTTTATTCGCCGCATCGTAGCATCAATTAATTCCGACAGATCCGAGACCTTACAAAGTTCCTATCTTCTGTGAAAAAAAATACTTTTCTTCGCAAATGAAAATAAAATCTTTACCGCTTTTCTTTGTTAAAAAAATAACATCGCTCAGTATGTCTTTTCGTGATAGCTTCTTCTCGCCTTAATTATTTCTCGTTTTGAATTTTCACGCGACCGCTAAATATTGTCACAACATTATTTTTTGGTTATTGAAATTTATTCCGTATACACCAATCCTATACTTATATATATATATATATATATATATATATATATATAAGGGACAACTAATTGTCGATAATCTGTTTCATGCATGAAAGAAAACTTCAGGACATGCGTGTTTTGTTTTGGCTATTCTATTTATATATGCTGGTAAATTGTGCATTATGTGCATTAAGGTGAATCTATTCTCATAAAGATTACTGGGAAGCAGGAAACTGTTTATGCTTCAAATTATTCAAATTATATTTTCATATCCACATCCGCTCTATAGCTCATATTGAGCACGTTTACACATAATAATAGTATATTAAAACTATATTCGTATAATTATATATATATATATATATATATATATATATATATATATGTGTGTGTGTGTGTGTATGTATGTATGTATGTATTAGTCAAACATTGTTATAGTAGATACATCGTAATAT